GTATTGTATTGTATTGTATTGTATTGTATTGTATTGTATTGTATTGTTAACGTTATACCACGATATTTACGTTATCAATCGAATTCAGAGACACTGGATACAGGGCACTACACTATCGTGTATTACTTAGGCATATTCTGAATTATCTAATCAATGATACATATTTTGAAGCACCTGCCACTTGTAGTTGTACTAGCCACTTGTAGCTGTACTTCCAGTACGCTGGTGCTAAACATGAGTAACTAGAACGTCAATGTCAAAAACAGGTGTCTTCCGGCATTCTTTTCGTAAATATATACCATTCGCAATATTTATTTATTTATTAATCATAATGTTTTACTATTATGACTTTCATATACTTTTTTGAGTAACTTTAAAAACCGTTTAAGCTCAGTACAAAGATCTACAACAAACACGGGTTCAGTTCTGGCGAATGCGCGGCGAACGCGCTGCATGTGCGCTGCGCGCGCGCTGTTCGCATACTGCACGCGCGCTGCACACGTGCTGCATGCGTGTAATTACATACATGTTAATATATGTGGCGCGCGAGGGGTATGTGAACAGATCGCACAACGTAATGCTCGTGTGCAGCTCGCGAGCCTTTTTGCATACAGGTGTATTTGCGGCGTATTTACAAGATCTATACGCATCCTAAAGATTACGAATTTCTTGTAGGTGTACTGACTCAGACTGAGTCAGCAACTCAGTTGGTTAATATCGGTGGCAACAGGCACGGGGTCAAATCCAGCCAGATTTTCTCTGTATTCGATCTTTGTGTCAATAATACCTGACACTTTTATTTGTAGAAACAGATTGTATAGAACTTGGTAACAAAATAAGTTTAGTTTTTCCTGCAACATATTGAAGATGTGTTGTATTTAGTATTTATATCATTCAGCAAACTAAATTAGGGGCCAATGGTTATTACGGCAAATGGTTTAGGTATTTATTATTGATATACCTAAGTATATTGTCTAAAGAATGTGGTAATGTGTTACACGATAGGATGTACTTTAGACGATCATATAAAATCCTAAAAACTGGCAAATCAATTAGAAAGTCTAAAACTAATTATTTTAGAATAAAATATCTAACTTTATACATTATTTTCATATGGAGATAATTTCTCTTTAAGTAATTTAGACAATCTGCTAAATTTTGATTTTGAACTGATGCCCTATTAGTTATTAAATTCCTATTTATCCCAAAATTGCCCAACGGCTTAACGTCACGCCGCGCCGCCTGCTCAGTCGGGCGCTTGTCGACGTCGGATCTTTGTCAAAGTTTCTTCTCCTGTTTTTATTTTACTCATATTAATTTAGAGCGCGCGGATTGCGGGAAGCGAGAGTCGACGCCCCCACTCCCCACCTCACCTCCTAAAATCTAGGCTCGCGTTGTTAATATCTCGCCTGAAGTATTTTTGTCATGCGGTATTCATAATTGGCCGAGAAAAAACCATTTCTCCTTGTCTCCTAGTCTCCTAGGGTCAGATATATGGAAAAATTATGCATTCTAGTAACATAAATATACATAACATTTTTAGAGATAGAACCCTTTGTGCAAATCCATCTCGTACTTGACGGTTGTTGTTTGTTTTTCTATTATATGTTGTTACGTATATTATGTAAGTAAATCCTGCATTATCTACTCGTAGAATGATATGAACTTTTTATGGAAAAGTTATATTTTGAAGCACCTGCCACTTGTTGATTAATTTTTGTTTGTTTACGTTGTATGTACCTACTATATTATATTGTAGTTTTCTTTTAAAATAAGCACACTTATTGCCTGGCCTCAAACTAGGGAATTCCCTGTACTATGAGTATCAGAGCAATGGAATTCGCTCTGGGGCAGTTTCTAGAACACTCAGATCAGAACCAATTTAGAAAAGTTCAGTTCTCAATCTGGTTCAACCGGGAAGCTAACCCGGGACCGTCTCATCCAGCAGCGCTCACAGTATAATCCGTTGAGCCACCGAGGTCATTAAAGTTATCCTCATAAATTAAATTACAATTCAGAATTGTGCAAATATCGTTATTAGCATACCGTTATTTTTTTTATTGAACATTACTTAAGAGCCATCGTCTTCGTTAAAACTAAAAATGAATTCGTGTAAACACTGTAACTACAGAAACCTTTTGACTTTTTTTTCAAAGTTTTCATTTTTTCCACCCTTTAAGGTTTTCACCCATTTATTTGGGTAGGCAAATGTTCTACCATTAATCATCTTTTCCTTGTTTTGGTGGAAAAGGTGACAAGCGTACGTTCTTAGTTCATTTCATATGTCATGGATGGTTGATACTACATACAGGACAGGGCAAGCTTCTATTATTCAACTATGAAAAAATTAAAACGAAATTAAAAAAAAATGGAAAGCGCTCATGACAATGCTGTGCATTTATTTAGATATCTGTTATTGTTTCTAAACGCCTTTGACACCACATTCGTTTAGTCAAAACTTTTATTCCACGACATTTGACAGATTACTTTTTTTTTAAACTATTCATGCAATATACACGGAACAAAAATTAGAAACCTGTTTGTAAGGAAAGCAAAAAAATGCGCGTTCGTCATCGTCGTGAACATTCTAAAATTAAGTAATTTATTTTAATGATAGAACGTCGAGTATATATTCAGAAATAGAGACGAAATGCCATTTAATTTGTTCTAAACACGTTTTAAAACGATTCTACCAAATCATTACAGTGACAACTGCGTTCCGATTGGCCAGCCTCAATTCGAAACAATTGACGGTTATCGTCAATTATTTCACTTCATATCGACCAGTTTAACTTGAGCTTTTGAAAATTAAAAAATTACATATTTACTATTTAATTACCGACGAAATGTGGTACCGTTTGTTTTGTAATTAGATGTTTTGTTGTTTTTCATTGTTAGAGATATTGTCTTTATTATAATAAATACAGAATATTTTTGGAATATACGGAGACGTACACACAGGTCAGTTGTTGGCACTGTACCATTTCAGTTTTCTAGTTTGTGATTTCAGCGCAAACGAGAGTTGATATTTAAAAGTGATTATAAGGCTCATTTTCCTGATGAGTTGCCAGAGATGGGTAGCCCTTATTTCGTCTCTATTTGTGGTTTATCGAGTATATACTCGATGTGACAGAAATACCGCATTATGATCGATTTGGGTTGCTGCACTGTGCACACAAACATTTTTTCTGATATTGCAATTAAGATTAATTAAATAATGATGCACTAATTACTGTCTGCAAAGTCAATACGTTACCGCCTTAAGGGTTCTTTTTGTATGCAGACAACGGCGGTTTACTTGTTGTTTCCCATAGCATTTATGGGCTACGCACCATATATTGAATATAAGCAAAAGGTTATCACAAAACAAAAGGGTCAACAAGCAACAAACTGGGCTTGAATTTCCGCTTGCAAACAAAACTGTTTCGGAAATGGAAAGCTTAGATAATTGAAGTTTAGTAATTGAAGTGCTGAGAGAAAAGGAAAAAAATGTTTGGGTAGGTACATTTCTGAATACCGAAAATAGCTA